TCCGAAATTTGGCCATTGTTGCACTAATACAAATCCGGATGTTTTTCGGCCGCATTTTCGGATCAGTGACGTTCACCAAGTTAATCACAAATCCGGACATTTTTTCGGCCGTATTTTCGGGGCAATGACATTCAGTGAAATACAGATCCGGATGTTTTTTTGGCCGCATTTTCGGGTACTTGAAGTACTAAATTTCGGACATTGGTGCAGTCTATGTGGATCATTATATCTGGATGGAAGTAACTTAAAAAATTTCGGACTTCAGAGCATTCCGCGGGGGGTTGTCTGGTCTGTGTAAAAATTACATCCGAAACTTCGGACATTGTTGCACTAATACAAATCCGGATGTTTTTTCGGCCGCATTTTCGGATCAGTGATGTTCACCAAGTTAATCACAAATCCGGACATTTTTTCGGCCGCATTTTCAGGGCAATGACATTCAGCATGTTAAATACAAATCCGGATGTTTTTTCGGCCGCATTTTCGGAGCAGTGACATTGACCAAGTCAACTACAACTCCGGACATTTTTTCCAGCCACATTTTCGGGGTAATGACATTCAGCATGTTAAATACAAATCCGGATGTTTTTGTGACCGCATTTTCAGGTACTTGAAGTATGAATTTCAGACATTGGAGCATTTCATGGGGGTTGTCTGGCCCCTGTCAAAATTACATCCCAAATTTCGGACATTGGTGCAGTCTATGGGGATTATTATATCTGGATGGAAGTAACTTAAAAAATTTCGGACTTCAGAGCATTCCGCAGGGGGTTGTCTGGTCCATGTCAAAATTACATCTGAAACTTCGGACATTGGTGCACTAATACAAATCCGGATGTTTTGTTGGCTGCATTTTCGGATCAGTGATGTTAACCAAGTTAATCACAAATCCGGACATTTTTCGGCCGCATTTTCAGGTACTTGAAGTACTAAATTTCGGACGTTGGAGCATTCTATGGGGGTTGTCTGGCCCCTGTCAAAATTACATCTGAAATTTCGGACATTTGTGCACTCTACAGAGATTAATACATCTGAATGGAAATGACCCACAAAATTTCGGACTTGAGAGCATTCCATGTGGGGCTTGTCTGGTCCATGTCAAAATTACATCCAAAACTTCGGACATTGCTGCACTAATACAAATCACACTAATACAAATCCGGATGTTTTTTTGGCCGCATTTTCGGAGCAGTGACATTGACCAAGTCAACTACAACTCCGGACATTTTTTCAACCACATTTTCGGGGTAATGACATTCAGCATGTTAAATACAAATCCGGATGTTTTTTTGACCGCATTTTCGGGTACTTGAAGTATAATTCAGACAT